GGCTACATCAATTTCTACTGGTGGGATCTGTAGAATTGCAGCTTTCTCTGAAAGGCAGAGCAATGCTGTAGGAAGCCTAAGGCTGGCAGCCTACAGCTAGTAGAGTAGGCAGTTTGAAGCTCTGATAGGACCCCTTCACCTCCCCAAGACCCTGAGACACAAATGCCTCTGCCCCCCCACTCCAGATTTTGTGGTCATCATATGTGGCCTTCTGGCGCTACAAGGCTGCTATCTTCCACTTACTTTCAAGTGGTTCAGTAAGATTAACACGTGTTTACATAGCAAAAAGTAGGACGTAAAGCAGATATATAGCAAAATGTTAACAACTGCTGAATCCAGACAAAGAATACATAAGCGCCCAGGTTTTCTCAATGAGGCAGGAAAATGAGGTCACTTTCAGACACTCAGCACGCGATGAGCCTGCAAACACCACGCAAAGAGGAAGTATTTCAATCTGGTTAAAGAGAGGAGGCGCCCAGGTGTCACAGCTTTCAGGATATTAAAGTCCATCCCATCTGACTGACTTGATTATTCAGCAATTGTTTGCAGAGCATCTGCGACCCTAAGTGCTGATGGTAATTCAATAATGAAAACACAAACTCAATCCGGTGAGGCTGACATTATGGGAGGACCCACAAGCCAGCCATTTTGAGTTAAGGAGAATTCTGGGGTGGATGCTGTGGGGGTGTACAGAAAAAAACATCTCAGTTCTCCCTGGATTATCAGAAAGACTCCTAAGGAACTAAGAGGAGAACATAAGACCAAGAGAGACAGAGGGAGCATTAGCCTGGCAGTGAAGGCTCCTGTACTCCCCACAGAGCTCTGAGTTACTGTTTGGGGGGGCTATAAGAACCTCAAAAGAAAGAACTTAAAACCACATGGACCACGCCCAATTCAGAAGAATGGCAAGCTGTTCTTTGTGCTGAAATTACTAAGTGTAGATTTGGGGGGTGGTGAGGTGGAAAGGGGTGAAGGATCCTTTAAAACCACCTCACTGATGGGGACCCATTAGAGAGGATTAGCCCTGGAGGCGACTAGATCACATTCCCATTTGCGAAGATCCATCTGGCATCAGAGTGGAGAACAAATTGAGGCAAAAGCAAAACTAATAGTAGGAGGCCACTTAGGAGACCATAATGGTTAGTTTAAGAGAGACAGTGACCTGAGCAACAGCAGTGACAGATGACAGTGCACTAAAGATGGGACCAAGTGCACTGAGTTAAAAAACCAAGGCTGATGAACTCCAAGGCTTCTTCTAGGACAAGCTGGTGGACAGATGGGGAGTCATGGGCTATAGTACTCAGGGGAAGCACTGGAGAGGGGACAATGGGACAGGGTGATAATATAAAGGTACTAAGCAGGTTTCACCAGGCCAGCACGTGACAACCTGAGTCAGGGACAGATGGCAGTCAAAATCAGTATTTTCATCATCAACTCTAAAATCTTTCATAGGGACTAGAAAGAGTGTAGATGAAGGTCTCATGGCTCTGGTGAGTGCATTCTGAGTGGTGGTGAATGAGGAGGTCCCTAACAGCCACAAAGTGCTGTCTCCCATTGACTCGACTGCCGTCACTTCCCAACCTTCCTCCCTTTCAGTTGCTTGCCACCTCGTCTTCCCCTTTTGTTAGGGTTGAAACCACACAGTTGTTTCCCTTTCCATAGAAACTTTTTCTTCGGTTTGTCTGCCTCTTCATCCTCTACCTGTGGTTACAAGGACAAGTTATATCATTAGGGGAGATTCGTTTTGTCTGCACTGGTCCATCAGTGAATACGTGCTTACCAAGAGTCTCACGGGTGAGCATCTGGGGGATTTTAGTAGTGCTACAGTCAAGGAGCCCTGTCCTTTGAAGCCACATAGCTCTGAATTTAAATTCTCCCTCTGCGTGCACTAGCACACGCCCCTGGGTAAGTAATCTACACATCTCTCTGTTCCTCATTATCCATCCAAAAAAATAAAATAAAACAGCTTGTACTTTACAAGTCTGCTGCATTACGACGGAAAATAAATGTGAACAGAACAGAGGCTGGTGCCCATAGACAGCGCGTCTTGCCTGCCTCCAAAGGCTGTTTACTAGGAAGACTGAGCTAGTACTCAAAAGAGGGCTATGATTTTCCAGGAGTAATTCTGCCGCAGAAGTTCAGCTGCTTTAATGAACTCTGTTGCTATCATTCCCATTATTGTTGTTACTGCTGCCAGGGGCTTCCGGGACCCGTGTCTCCAAGCCTTTGAGCAAAACTTGAACATATCTGTATCATTATTATTTCTGAACCCCCTCATATCTTTCTTGTAGCTTGGGAATTGTTTCTTTCTTTGCTGAGTGCTGCTTTACTGAAACAGCCAGATGTCTCTACAGCTTGTCGTTTCTGGCCACGTACTCTCTTGTAGATACTCAGCTGTGTTAAGCTAATACACCATGTCGGTGGAAGTTTTGCTGGTCGGGAGAAACTGTAACTGCTGTTCTTGAAACACAAAATGAGTCACTGAGAGATTAAAAACATGTAGGGACCTAAATATCACCGTAGGCCCATAAAAATACAGTACAAACATTTAAAATCGTTATAAATTACCTGTTACCAATATAACAGGGTTTTAGCCAGCATTTTCTAGAGGAGTAGCACTGATAGACAGAATATGGATTATTAGATTGGCTTGCACAATACAAGCTGGGCATTCCAACAATAGTTATCTGCACACTATAGAGGCTGAGAACCTTTAGTTCTCAAGGCAAGGAAGATCTATAGGGTCCTGGGAGCTGCTCAGGCCATGAGACTGGGTGCCTCAGATTCCCCATCTGGTGCTGACAGTCTAGTGGAGTCCTGGAGAGACACTTGTCTTCAGTCAGAATTGGAAGGCTGAAGGAGCTGGGTGCCAACGTCAGTGAAGTCGGCAAAAGCCAGCAGGAGTGAAAGCAGGCAGGCAAAAACAGCACTGCCTCTCACTCAGGCCTCTTTCTATCTGAACTGCTCCAGAAGGTGCTGCCATCCCAAAAGGGAAAATCTTCCCTCCCCATCTGCCAGTCCTTCCAGGAAATGTCCTCACACATTTCCCACAGCCTTGTCTCTTATTTAAAATCAAACCCAATCAACTCAACAACCAAAATTAACCATCACAACTGCTCTAATAAACCATTACTAAAATATCATTAACTCTCTATCTAGTTTAGTTGTGTTGCCCATAAAGATCGAGTGGCCTTGAACTCATGGAGACCCATTTGCCTCTGTCTCCTGAATTCTGGGAGTAAAGGTGTGGCCACCACTGCCTTTCCTCTATGGCTAACTAGTGGTTTATTGTATGTGGCTAACTAGTGTCTTGGTGTGTGTGTGTGAAGCTAACTATTGACTTGGCTCTTAATTGGGTGTGTAACTAAGTAGTGGCGTAGCTCTGCACTTTAATCTTCAGGCAAGCTTTATTTGTAAGATTGCAAAGCATAACTACTCACAACAGTCAGTCTTCTCCTACTCCAGCTCCCACGCAGGATGGTTCATCTGCCTCTCTCCCACCTTGCCTTCTGCCCCCTTGCTATCCTCCCCAGCATATCACTCAACTCTTCCTCATCCAGGGAGAGCATAAACGCCCTGCTACTTCTTTTCTCCAGTGATTTTCCTTTGTAACATTTAATATCATTTGTAATTACCTTTTAATCCTATATAGGTTTACTGACTTACCATCTGACTTTTACACTAGAGTGTAGATCCCAAGTGGGCAAGCCCTGTGTCTGTTTAGTTGCTGGAGATTCTCTGTAACACTTAGCACAGAACCAAGCACATGGGTGGGCTCCTTTATCTGCTCTTATCACCTCTGTTTGGATGACTTCCTACAATCCCCTTGGTAGATGAAAACTGAATTTTTATGGAGCCCATCTTCTCTGGTGTTTTCCTTAAATTTCCTCACCAACATTTATTCACACATTATTGAGACATGGGTTGTGTTCTCTGGTTCTTCCATGATTCTCTAATCACAGGATCTGAAACTCTTTGGGGACATTTTTGAAATCTCTGTGTGCCTACTCTAACAGTAGACAATGCTATTGGCTCTCAGCAGTTTCTTGATAGATGAAAGTATAGGTCCGCCTGACAACCCAGCATTTCCCTTCTGCATGGCAGGAATCGTCACATAACAAACTGCAGATACCTTTGCAGTGAGATCTTTTCCTGCCAGGGTTCTGCTCCCATCTTCTCAGGTTACTATTTTAACTTGCAATAAGAAGCAAACAATAGTATCTTGAAAGGGAATTGGATTTATTTTTAATAAGAAGTCTGAATCGGGAGCTCACATTTTTTTTCCTCCGGAATGTAATAACGGTACAAGTAAAGCCTTACACTACACTTCTGGTATGGAAGAGGAGAAGCTTCCAGGTAAAGTTCTTTGGTGAGGTAAAAGCAAGCCTGGTACAACCCGACCTACTCAGTTTCCCTGGGAGCCTGGTCCCTGGACACAGTGCGACCACATAGTCCAGGTGTGTTTCCATCATCCTGTACAGAGAGGAGACGTGAAGGCACACAGAAAGCTCCTTGGAGGCAGGCTGGACACTCACCACTGATAGTCCTGCCCTTTTGCTCCATTCACAACCAAAGCAAAGCAAAGAGGTATCAACTAGAGATGCCATTGTTATGCCCAAAATGGCCATATACTAAGCCAGAATTTCAGCATTCATGATGTTATTCTAAATGAAGTTTTCCAGTTCAGGCTACTCATTTGCTCCATATTCTTTGGGTGACCTACACTCTGTCTGTCTCTCTGTGTGTGTATGTATGAATTTTTATGTACTTCAGAAATTCTTGAAGACAGAGAATTTTTTTTATAATTTCCCCCACATAATTAATAGTTGATCTTATAGCACTGGCCATGTTTTTTTTTAAAAAGGTAAGTTTTACTAAAATCAATTACACCATGAAACCTGCCAATGTTGGTGTATAATATCTTTGTTACTTAATCACCTGTCTCCACCTCTGGTTGACATTATGACAACTGCTAACAGGCACCTTCTCTCTGTTCTCAGGCTGTGGCAGTCCTGAAGGTTGATGGAGGGCCATGCTATTCAAACAGCAGGTGTGGCTGAGACAGAAGCTCCTGGTACTGGGAAGCCTTGCCGTTGGGAGCCTGCTGTATCTAGTTGCCAGAGTTGGGAGCTTGGATAGGTAGGTGGTTAAATATATGCTCTACTCTTGTAGCCTTATGTATCTGCTGATGTGAACTTCCTTGGGCTATAAATCCATTTGTTTTTGTCCCTCAAGGTTCTCAAGAAACACACTTTTCCGTGCAGTTGATTTTTATTCATTAAGACCTTATAGGTACAAGTTACACACAGCAAAATACCAAGATGCTTCATCCAAATCCATCTGTATTCTGAGAACACTGACCCTTGTTCTCAGAGAAGGCATAAAGTTGGGTACTTAGAAAAATAAATAAATAATGCTGCTACTGATTACAGCCTAATGTGGTGTGGTGCTGACCTTCAGCCATTATGTCACGGTATTAATAGGACTACGTTTCTGCATTTTGAAATTTATGAGTGGACAATTATGTATGCACCAGTAAAGAAGCTCATCAAGTTTGCAATCCCCTGCCCTGGAAACATAGCTACAGGCATGGATTTTAAACTGTTAATTATCTCTGGCTCTTGGGCACCCAACAAGGATGCTGTCACACAGAATGATTGCCCAGAAGTCACTGGGAAATCCATGGAGAGGAAATTTCCAAGTTGGAGTTTGGCTCTTAATAGGCAAACCCTTGAAAGGTGCTAGGCCTTCTGGAGTCCCAATCATGACAGCTGAGTGTCCCTAAGATGCTCCTTGGTGGTTCTACGGTCAGGGTGACAGGTAAATGCTGATGACTTAATTTCTGAAATAAGGAACTGCTCTTTTCCCCCTTTAAATTAATTCTTATAGTGAAAGACTAGATTCTTTGTCCTATTGAGCTCTCAAAGTCAATGAACACAAATCCACATTTTAAAATGAAAATAGCTTCAGTTTTCTTCACAGTATCCCATCATTCAGATGTTTTAAAATAATTTAGCAATGATCAGTCAGTGTCCATGAAAACTATTGTTGTTTTTCAGTTCAAAACTCTTCCCACTTTGTAATTGTACTGAAGAGCTTATCACTCAGTGCTGCATTCCAGTTTTTACTGTTGGCATGTCATTTAATAGTGAATAGCCTTGAAGTAACAACATTTGACCTATTTTGGCTACAACAGAGCTTTTGAAGTCTTCCCAACAACTTTAGTTGCCAATCATTGACATTTTATTGAGTTATTAGTCTTATAGTTATGAACACATTTATCAATAAGGTGGTAGTGTTTTTATCTCCAGTTTTCTCAGCTCATTTATGGGATGATGTGTATAAGAAATTCCAGCATTTGGTGGCCTTTCTCACAATCCGTTGCTTAAGATTTTGAACAGATTAGGTCTGAAGATAATAGGGGCTTCTTTAGGCTTACCCTTAGTAACTGGAGATTGCTTTCCAGGTGGAAGGCTGAGGTTATTTCCCTTGACTCTACCAATGTTGAAATTCTGCTTTGGGTCTCGAAACCTTAAAACTAGCCTTCAGGGAGAAGGGGAGTGAGATATTTTCTCCTAAATTTGCATGCTGTCTTGACGTGGGGAGTACAGAAAGCAATTGTCCTATAGAGTTTGATCTTCCAGGGTAGGAAGTAGAAAGAAGAAGGAAGTTCAGAAGAAAGGCAGCCTTTTCTAGACAAAGGGAGTTTCATTCCAGCTCAATCACTCCTAGAGATGCTCTTGTCAATATTTGAACCCAGGGTCAAGCAAGAGAACTAAATCTTTTTTTATTTTTTTATTTAAATTAGAAAAAAACTTGCTTCCATGTCAATCCCAGCTCCCTTTCCCTCCCCTCCTTCCCCCCACCCCCCACCAATCTTCCAATCCCCATCCCATCCTCCTCCCCACCCCAGGGACGGTTAGGCCCTCCATGGGGGAATCTCCAAAGTCTGTCATATATCCAGAGCAGGGCCTAGGCCCTCCCCCAAGAGTCCAGACTGAGAGAGCATCCCTTCATGTGAAATGAGCTTCCAAAGTCCATTCATATGTCAGAGACAAATACTGATCTACTACCCGAGGCCCCATAGATTGCCTAGGCATCCTCACTGACACCCACATTCGGAGGGTCTGGATCAGTCCCATGCTGGCCTCTCAGCTATCAGTCTGGGGTCCAAGAGGTCCCCCTTGTTCAGCTGTCTCTGTGGGTTCCTCCAAACCTGTCTTGACCCCTTTGCTCATTGTAGCATACATTCTTTCTGCCAGACTGGTCCCAGAGCCATGTCAGTCCCAAACGAACACACAGGACTCTATATTAATTATGAAGCTGATGGCCATGTGCTATGGTTTCTCATTGGCTAGCTCTGACTTAATTATTAACTCATAATTACTAATCTATATATTTTTCAAGGTCTTTCTTACCTTACCGAGGACACAGACTCATGAGTCCTCTCTTCCTGAGATCACATGGTGACTCTCTACTCTTGACTACATTACCCAGAATAATCCTCGACTCCTAGTCCACCTACCTTGCTTCCCTATTGGCCAACAGTGCTTTATTCATCAACCAATAAGAGAGACATATTTACAGAATGATATCTCCCATCAGCTCATCACTACTCCCTCTCTACAACTGGTTTCCAGGAGTTCAGCTCAGTATTTAGCTGTGGGTATCTGCCTCTGCTTCTATCAGCCACTGGATGAAGGCTCTAGGATGGCATATAAGGTAGTCATCAATCTCATTATAGGGGAAGGGCATTTAAGGTAGCCTCCACTATTGCTTAGTTTACTAGTTGGTGTCATCTTTGTAGCTCTCTGAAAATCTCCCTAGTGCCAGATCTCTCCTCAAACCTACAATGGCTCCAGTATGGTATTCTCATCCTGCTCTCCTCTATTCTTCCCCCAACTCAACCTTCCTGCTCCCCCATGTCCTACTCTCTCCTCCTCTTTTCCCCCCTCTCTTTCTCCCCTCTCCCTCTCCCCTCCCTTCGTGCTCCCAATGCACTCAGGAGATCCTGTCCCATTCACCTTCTTGGGGTTACCATGTATATGATGGATTGTGATATGGGACTGTAAGCTGAATAAATCCTTTCCTCTCCAAACTTGATTTGGGCTATGGGTGTTTTATCACAGCAAAAGGAACCCTAACAAAAACAGTGATAGAATATTGTTTTTACAATAGATCAAATATTTTCAACTTTCTGAAAGGAGTATGAGTTGTTTCAACAATCATAGAATACATGTTACAAAAATTAATAGATGTCTATTTTTGTTAAAGATTATGATACAGACCTAGATAAACAGAAAACCCAATACCATTCCCCTAGTTTCTACACAATCAGTTGAGCATGGCTTGAAGATGCAATGGTGCCTCTTGGGGAAGCAAGAGACTGCCTCAGTGCCACAGGGAGGGAGAGAGATTCCAAATTACTGGAGTCACTAGAAAAATTTCATCTGGAAGAAATAATTTCATCTGGAAGAAATAATTTAATAGTCATTTTGACTAGTGTTATCCCCTTTAACCAAGAAGCCTTAAAAGACTTCCTGGATCAACCTAGTTGGCTCATTGATTATAATGAATTTTCAGTTTATCATCATATTATGTATAAAGGTAAACACAGTTTTCTAACCATATACAGAGGCCATGATAAAGTAATCATTTTGTTCTAATATCATTGTCACTATTACCATATCTTTCTCTCCCAGAAAAACATAAATGGTTGTCCATCCTCCCTGGCTGTAACTATTGCATTCCTTATCTTAGAAACTCTAGTCCTTGATTTAAATTGCATGTTGATGAGAATCTGGGATTTCTGGCCCCATCAAAGTATTTCTTTCAGATTTCTTGTCATAGGTTTGGTGGGTCATACACAGAATGTTGATGCTTGAGATTGTTCTTACAATCAGTAAAATGAAAGTGTAATCTTGACCTTTTTAGATAGAAATGGAAAGAGAATCAGAAGTAGAGCATTCCTCTGCCTATCCCCAAGGCCACAGAGCAGAAATTCTTACAAAAAAACTTTCAGCAAGGACCAAGACTGGAGTTCTGCATGACAGTGTTGCTCAGAACCAAGGGCAAGGACAGGAGACCACTCTCAGATTATATCTCACGAATGTTAAAGAGCCATGTGCATGATGCTAGGCTGCCAAAGGAAAAGAAGAAAGAGAGAAGGGGGAGGGAAGGAAGGAAGGAAAGGAGAAAGGAAGGGAGAAGGGAGGGGGAGGGAGGGAGGAAGGGAGGGAGGAAAAAGCAATACTCCATGATGCCTGAAATAAATGATCTCCTCTTTGCCCTTCAGCATCCTAGCTGAAGATTATAATCTTCTGCCTTCCCAATTTTCTAAATGATTTTAACCGGTGAGCTGTTGAAAAACTATTAGTATGGCTGGTGTCACTTGTCTATCCTGTACTGTGAGCATAAGTACACGCCGTAGTCAATTAAGTGCTTGGTGAATAAAAATTTTAAGGAGCACCAATAAAAAAATCCCATCAATTATGTGTGCTCCACTGAATAGGGGTTGCTTAACATAAAATTTCCCAAACATATGTTCATTATGGATTACAGCAGCCGAGGACGCAGTGGCTTTATTTTTGCATGTATAATCTGAGTCTGGGTGCAGATGCAAAACAATGGTAAATTTAGTAGTGATGAGTTCCTCACAGTGCCTCCCTTTGGCTTGCAGGCTCCAGCCCATTTGCCCTGTTGAAAGCCGATTTGGAGGCGCCCACAGTCAGGCTGAGTTGCCACTCCGAGCCCTGCAGTTTAAGAGAGGTCTGCTGCATGAATTCCGGAAGGGCAACTCTTCCAAGGAACAGGCTCACCTCCATGACCTGGTCCAGCAGCTCCCCAAAGCCATTATCATCGGGGTGCGGAAAGGGGGCACCAGGGCCCTGCTAGAGATGTTGAACCTGCATCCTGCAGTGGTCAAAGCTTCTCAAGAGATCCACTTCTTTGACAATGATGAGAACTATGCCAAGGGTATTGAGTGGTACAGGAAAAAGATGCCTTTTTCCTACCCTCAGCAAATCACAATTGAAAAGAGCCCGGCCTATTTCATCACAGAAGAGGTTCCGGAAAGGATTTACAAAATGAACTCATCCATCAAGCTGTTGATCATTGTCAGGGAGCCGACCACACGAGCGATTTCTGATTACACTCAGGTGCTAGAGGGGAAGGAGAGGAAGAACAAAACCTACTATAAGTTTGAGAAGCTAGCCATAGACCCTAATACCTGCGAGGTGAACACGAAATACAAGGCGGTTAGGACCAGCATCTACACAAAGCATCTGGAGCGCTGGCTGAAGTACTTCCCAATTGAACAGTTCCACATCGTGGATGGAGACCGTCTCATCACCGAGCCTCTGCCGGAACTACAGCTCGTGGAGAAGTTCTTAAACCTTCCTCCGAGGATAAGTCAGTACAATTTATATTTCAATGCTACCAGAGGGTTTTACTGTTTGAGATTTAACATTATCTTTAATAAGTGCCTGGCGGGCAGCAAGGGGCGCATCCATCCAGAGGTAGACCCCTCCGTCGTTACCAAATTGCGCAAATTCTTTCATCCCTTTAATCAAAAATTTTACCAGATCACTGGGAGGACATTGAACTGGCCCTAAAATAATACGTCGTACAACACCATGTGTTGTACACAGAGACACATGGTGTCTCCTCTAGATTAAAATATGCACTTTCCCAGACACAGCTACCCAATTCATTTTTCCATGAATACTTGTACATGTGCAGTGTGTGACCAAATATAAGATCAGTTCTTTTTCTACTGAAAATTTACAAAAAAATAAATACGAAATTGCTGCCTGGATAGTTGCATCTTTTAAGCTATTTACGAAAGAAAAGCAGAGGTGGTGGGACTTGGGGAAAGTGACTTCAGATGTTCTCAAGAGTTAGTCTTCCTTTGATTCAGAACTTGTCACCCGCCATTTCATAGATTTAAGCCAAAAGATGAATGTGTGAAAACGTACCAATGGCTACGAAGCTTCAGGAAGTAGAGGATTCAGTTTTACAGTTTTTCGTCTTTGTTTTTGTTTTGCTTTGTTTTGGTCCTAAGGTGACGCTGGCTCTTTAATGCAGATACTGGATTGGAGCCATGAAAATAGAATATGCTATTTTCTTATTATTTAAAAGAATGTCTTATCTCATCAAATCGACGTTGTTCCAAATTTCCTGTGGTGATTTTGCGCTACCGTTTCCTTGTGTGGACCATGGTGTCATTTGTAGCATGTCAATCACGAGCTGGCGAGTCAAGACCTTTTACTTCCATGTGTATGTCAACAAAGAGAAATGTCCTGTACATACTGTAAATGATGTAAATACCAGTTTCACACTAAGTAATTCTATTTTGTAAACTGAATATGCCTATTTAATTTATTGTGAAAATTAAATTTATTGTGGTATTTAAAATGGAATGGATTAAAATTACACTATGTGCAACTTTTCTTAAAAACTTCTTTTACTGTATGCACCCCCCTGCTGGCCTCCAGCATGTAAGCTGTGTGTGTGTGTGTGTGTGTGTGTGTGTGTGTGTGTGTAGTTCTGTTTTTTATTATTTTGCTTTTGAGGGGCCCACCACCCAATTCCCAAATAAATCACACACCGAGGCTTATTCTTAGTTATAAATGCCCAATCTTAGTTTGGTTTGTTGCTAGCTAGTTCTTGATTTAAATTAATCCATCTGCCTTTTCTCTCTGCTTTTATATTTTTTCTGCATATCTTGCTTTCCTTCTTACTCTGTGGCTGGAAGGGTGGCTGGGTGGCTGGGTGGCTGGGTGGCTGGGTGGCTGGGTGGCTGGGTGGCTGGCCCCTGACATCCCCCCTCTCCTTGTTCTCTCTATGCTTGCCTCCTTGTTTTCTCCTATTTATACTCTCTGTCTGCCTGTCCTGCCTATCCTTGCTCCTGCGTCAATATTGACTGTTCAGCTCTTTATTAGGACCACCAGCTGTTTTAGGTAGGCATAGTAGCACAGCTTCACAGAGTTAAACAAATGCACCATAAACAAAAGTCATTACCTGAAAACAGTATTCGCCAACTTGTGTACCTATGTGTGTGCATTCACACATGCCCCCTGTTGGCCTCCAACATAGAAGGTATGTATGTATGTATGTGTCTGTGTGGGGGTGTATGGGGGAGTGGATGTACCCTCTGTTGTCCTCCAGCATGGAAGCTGTGTGTGCATGTGTGTGTGTGTATGTGTGTGTGTGTGTGTGTGTGTGTCTGTGTGTCAAGGATGCACCCCTTCTGGCCTCCAGTGTGAAAGCTGTGTCTTTTAGAGAGATATTGCAGTGGTTCACTTCACCCTTAGATTTCCAAGCCCCAGTGAATGTATACTTAAAAAGGGAGATTGAGAACCCTTTGCAAAATTCTCAGCCTCATAGGGATTCATGGAAGAACAGCCACCTCAGGGAACTCCAGCACTGCTCTGACTAGAATTCACATGCTGCTGTGTCAGAGAGAAAAGAAAACCAACACAGAACCACAGTTGTCTTTGAGTATCTAATTGCAGTCAGACCCTGAAATAAAATAATAAGATCAGAACACACGTGTGGTCTCTGTCCTGAGAGCTGCTGGTGCTGTACAGATGCAAGGAAGGCTTCAGAGCTCTCTTTGACAGGAAAATGTCTTAATCTCTCAGATGAGATCAAACTGCACATCATCAATGTAAACAAAGAACAGATGGCCACATACCCTCCCAGAGAAAGTAACACTAAACTAGGTGCCTCTGGAACGTCAGAGGCTCTTAACCTTGGCCCAAACACCATTCAGAAGAGGGCAGACAGTGTTACAACATCAGCAATGGTTCATCAGCATCCATAGTTGCTTAGCAGGAAGGACATGTTGGAGAAGGCTCTGCTGAACACAAGGGTGCATAGAGAACCAGCCAGTCACAGTAATTTCCCCTTGCAGTAATAAGGGTGTGCTTTCTCGGCTTTCTCCCGTCCAGTGATTTGATGGTGATCTTTCCTAAATAAATAGTGCTTTCTTTTCCAATGTCAGTGTGGATGGTCTCTCCAGCCACAGCTTTGGCCATCATCTCCTCTGTCTGAGTTAAAGGACACTCATCCCCCAGCATGGCACTGGCAGGACACAAACACAGGCTGGCCATCAGGTCCTCACTGCTTAATGCCTCTGAAAGGCAAGTCTGGAGTCTAAATATCAGTCACTCTTCTCCTAGGCAGTAAGGAAGCCAATAAAACAGCCTGCTTCATTCTTCCTTGTGTCTCAACTCTGTGCTAACCATCAGAACAAGCTCTCTCCAGGACATAATCACTGGATTCATATTAATCTCACACAGGTAATACAAGAGCACCATACAGCTAATATGGACCTGTACCAACAGCCATTGAATTATGCCCCATGGCAACACTGGTGTTTTTGAGATTCAGCCTCAGCTAATGAATTGAAATGTCTCAATGTGTCCCATTATATATTTGGTTTTTATTTATTTCTCATTATACATTGACAAATTTGGGTCAGTTAAACTTAGGACATACAAAATGATGTTATGGTTCTGTAGTCCCACGTAAAGTGATCATATTAAACTAATTAACATATCTATCACCTCAAATTCTTACTCTTTCTTTGATGAGAATATTAGACATTTAGTCTTAGTGCTCTTTATAACATTGGGTATTCAATTATCAGTTGCACTCCACATTCTGTACTTGATTGAAAAAAACAAACAAGCAGATTTTTCCTCCTAAGGGAGGTTTAAAATGCTGTATGTGGAATAGTCTGACTTTATCCTAAGATTCCATGTGACTTAAAGCAACCTGTATACTTTCAGTTTTAACTCACTTTCAGTTTTAGTTCAGGAAACTAACAGCGTCATTATTTATAAATGCTGCACTGTCTAAATGAGTTTATTCAAAGCATTCAAAGCTGGGACCTCAGATGGCAGAACCTGGGGAGGGGGGAGGGGGCATGCTCCATTTCACTGGAAAAGCAATCATGGCAGTACCGATTAAACCAGGTAGAGAAATAAAGAGCATATGACTGACTTCATAGCACACTTCCACTGTGGACTGGATGGCCCCTGTTTAGAAAAAGGTGTCCTGTTGTCATTGGACTGGTGGCAGATGAAAAATCCACTGCTCATTAAGGTCTCTAGGGCTCTCTTTAATGAGTTACTGCTTTTCCATTATGAACACCTTGCATTCCTCCCAGAGCTTGGAGGCACTGTAAGGCTTTATCAGATAGTTTTGGCTGGAAGCAGAGCAGGAGTTTAGCAATGGTGACATTTCTGATGGATCATAAAGTTGGATCACCATTTTGGAACCCAAGGAATTTCAACTATAATTAATTATACCCAAGGTAGAGAGAGAGCAAAGGTACCCAAACCTGAAGATGAACATCCTCAAATCCCAAGTCTATTTCCCACCCACCTGAAACCAGCCCACATAAAGTCACACTAAGAGTTCCCACTAAATGCAGTACAATGAAGAGGTGTTTAAGACACTTTGACCCAGTTAGTGTTGTTGCCTCATAGGCTATGAGGTTCCTCATAATCACGTATGACCTTAGGTTTAGTGAATGTGTGTTGATGGAATATGAGGAACAGTCTTTTGCCAGGCAGTGTGTACTCAAAAGGCCATTATAGCTTCTGGGAACATAGTCCATGGTGTTTCACACGACAGAAGAATCATCCTAGAAGAGAAGCACAGGGAGTAAGAGACACTGCAGACCAGTGACCAAGTACAGTCTAAATTCTAAGTCTGCTTTGTCCCATTAGCTATTTACTAGCTAAATCCGATCGCCTTTGTAAGCCTAATGCCAGGATTTTGATCATAGTGTCTTGCTGCTGGAATCTTTTTACTCTTTTTTTTTACTCAACTCACTATTTCTCACTATAGAGAAGAGTCTATAATCTAAACAAAACAGAAAACTGCAGAGACATCCCTCCTCAAAATGACAAAATACAGTAAAATCATAGCATCATGAGCTAAGAAAGTAAAAATACAGAATTATTTTTATATTTTGTTTTTTTGAGAAGGAGTTCTCTGTATAGTTTTGCAGCCTATCCTGGAACTCCATACACCAAGCTGGCCTCAAATTCACAGAGATTTGCCTGCTTCTGCTTCCAGAGTGCTGGGATTAAAGGCATGTACCACCACTGCTCAGAGAAATAGAGAGTATTTTAAAAGAAATTTAAAGCAAATCTTGCAGAAAAAGTCAAGATATGCAGCAGTATAGTTAAAAAAAACCAAATACCCAAGTATTATCCAGGTATTTCAAACCACTGTGTTTTCTCAAGAAAATACTCAAATCTCCTTGTATCTGTTTAATAGCTAAGTGCAGATGTGAACTGAGCTAAAACAGGATCCTTTGATAATGTTCTAATTAATGATGTCTTACTACACATCTTACAATTCCTTTACATTTTAAGTGTTTAGTCTTTTATTTTTATTTTCTGTGAGTTAATATTTGCCTTCATGCATGTATGTGTCACATGTGCATGCTTGGATTCCTCATAAGTAAGCAGAAGGTTCCAGATCCCATTAGAGTTCCATGTGCATGTGAGACACCATGTGGATGTTGGGAACCGAACCTGGGTTCTCTGGAAGAGTGGCAAGAGTTCTTAATCACTGAGTCGCCACCCCAGCCACTATTGTCAATTTTTAAGATGGTATACAATTAAATTTCATGTCCCTTCCGTGAGTCCAACCACTATTTAATAATAATCAGAAATGGACTGGATGGTTGAAAGATGGGCATCAATATGCATGTCCCATAGAAAGCACAAGATTCATATTATCATCATGTCTGTCTCTCTGAAGCAGCCTGGCTGAAAAGGTAAATTCTTCCAGTCTCACAAAGGAAGCAAGCCTGGTCTTTCCAGGGTTGTTCTGTCACAAATCCGGAAAACACACTGGAAAACTGGAAAAGAGTCATGTGCAAGGTAAGATTGAAGGCTGAGAAATGAAACTACTAGTAGAGCACTCTGGAACCTCAATAAGACAGACCATCACACCTCGGAGAGTACCCTGCCTGACACTCAGGCCAGACCTGCTCCCTTGGTTCTGCACCCAAATTAGACTAAGGTCTTACAACAGAAAATAAATACCAAAGTGACTATCCTAGAAGTTTTACTACAAAGAGACAATTTTCAAATAATCGGGCTGCCACATAGAAACATCCTTTTCCTTCTCTTCTTTCTTGCCTCTCCTCTCCCCTCACTTGGTCTCTTCATCTAGAATTTCACTTCTCCTCACAGGGTCTTCTGTCCTTGCCTCATCTTCTCTCCCAGGACTGAAGTCAATGAGCCTTTTCAAAGCCAACTCTGTGGCTATGCTGAAGGGTCACACGCAGAAAGGTCATATATGGAAATGTCATACTATGCCCTCCACCCACTTTAGTCTCAGAAACACATGACTATAGTCCCCTGCCTAGCAAGGGATGTGGAAGGTGTGAAGGAACTAAAGATATAAATGCAGAG